ACGTGCCAAGCCCAAGGTGCCCACCTCGCTTGGAGTAAAAGCCAAAGAACCCTGCACACTCTGCCCCCACCGCGGCCCCTGCCCCTCACCCACTCTGCTCAGCCGCACCGCCTCCTCGCTGTGCCTCCACACACTGCAATATCCCACCTCAGGGCCTTGCACGGCGGTTCCCTCTGCCTGGAACACTCTCCCCCAAATACCAGCTGGCTGCTCTCTCTCCGGATGCCCAGGACCCTCTCTGTCCCCAGGGGAGAGTCCCTGGACCCGCCCAGAGTCTGTGGCTGAGGCCTTCTGGACCCCACACACCCAGGCCCATCCGAGCCCCTCAGACTCAACCATCAAGTCCAGGGAAAGAGCCTCATCCGGGGCCTCAGAGGCATAGCATCCAGCCCTGTGCCCCACCAACTATTACCTTCCCAGGGCCAGCCTCGGCGGGGGGCGGGGGGGAGGTTAGGGGTCCCTCCTCTTCCCCATGGGCAGGGCCCAGAGCCCCCAGGCACCTGCTACAGCCTATGCGTACATACAGCAAGCGCTCAGCACACGTTGAGTGGAAAGAGGTCAGGAGGGCCAGCAGAGGCGAGGTGCAGGTGGGGAGGCAGGTTAGTAACTTAGGAAAGCTCCCTGGCAAGTGGAATGGGGAAACGGGCCAGGCAGACGGCTAGTGTACCCCAAGATCTTACCTCCCCTAACCAAAGGCTCTTAGGAGCAGATGGCTTCCCTCTCCCCTCCCCAACCAGAGAGCTAGCTTCACTCACCCTAGGCAGGGAGATCGCTAACAGGGACCCAAGTAGTGGCAGCCATACCCAAGATGGATAAACCAGGGGAATAACTAACAAAACAACAACTAGAGCCAGACAAGTCCAAGATAGAGGTGAAGCTGACCAGAGAACGACCCCTCTCCCCTCCGCGCTCACTCAGAGGCATCAGCACAACCACGGACACACCTGGAAAGCTGAGGCGTGTTCTGTTGGATCCTCCCCTGACACCGCCCCTAAAACGCCCCGCTTCTAGAAAACTACAGAAACCTCAGGAGAAGGGAGCTGGCGGCACTCTCCCTCGGGCACCCCCCGCCCACACACCTCTTTTCTCAGGTGCTGCTTTTGCAGACCTTCTCCTGAGCTCCAAGGGCACTCCTCCTGCCTCACCTTTCAAAGGGCCACAGCAGCCCTGGCTACCCTCACTTGGTCGCTGTGATCTTGCTACCAGGAAGGGGCCTGGCCCTTAGCGGCCCGCCTGGCCCGGACTCTAGTGTGTGGGCTCTTGACGTCCTGCAGGAAACTTCACAACAGGAGTCCAGGTGACTGCGCGGGGACATTTATTAAAGCTGCGGACACTGAAGCGAGGAAGGGCTTCGCACAGAAGCCACAGGAGAGCCCCGCTGCGCTGCCCTCGCTCTCTGGGCAGGCAGAACAGAGGGCCTTGGGGACAGGTTCGGGGACTCGCCTGGGTTGAGCTGCCGCTGCCCACTGCTTCGTTTTGCTTCTCCTGCTGCCAGTCTCGTGGGTTCCCTTAGAGCCGTGGTTCTCAACCTTGGCTGCACATTAGGATCACCTGGGAATCTTTTTAAAATCCTGATTTCTGGGCCTAGAGAAATCAGGATTTTTAAAAAGATTCCCAGGTGATTCTAATGTGCAGCCAAGGTTGAGAACCACTGCCTTAGAGTTTAGGAGATGCAAGCCTATGGGGAAGAAAGGGAAGGGGGAGGGATGACGTCTCTGCTGATTGGTCAGCGCCAGGGCAGGGGGCATCATTAGTCAGTAGTCATCTCAGCTGGTCCTGGTGTCGCCCACCTGGTTGTGCTGCCTCTCTGGGCCTGGAGCTGGAATACAGCTGAGGCCTAGACGTTCTCTCCGGGAAGGTGACCTGTATCTGCTGCAAATTGCTCGGCCAGTTTGTTCAGCTGTCAGTGTCATTCCACGTGTCCTGCTCACTGGCCTCTTAATCTTGCTGCTTCTGCCCTAAGCCCTTCCTGTGATGCACGTCCCCAGCTTTAATGAACGTTCTCTCAGAATGACCCGGACTCATGTCTGAATTCTTCCCTGCACAGTCCAGTCCGCACATCCGAGACCATGCGGGGACAGACCCGCCTGGGTGCTGGCCCACCCAGCGAGAGAGCCAGGTGGAAACAGAGAAAGACAGACAGATTGCAAAACACAGAGGACAAGAAAGAAGGAAAGAAGGAAAGATGAGCAAAGCTGATCTTCACTACTGAACCCCAAGACACGCCACACGGCGCCCAGGGTCCAGCAGACAACAGCCCAAGGTCTGTGTGAGCTCACCGCCTGCAGCAGACACTGGATCGCCCTCAGCAGCTGGACTCCCCGGGAGCCACCCCAGACCCACACCAACCCTGGAGCAGCAGGGCCCCGCGCAGCCAGGCCCCCACAGCCAACCACGGACCTCAACAGCCCAGCCTGCCAACAGCTCGCGCCCCAGCCCTTGAAGGAGCCCCCACAGGCTCTGCCACAACACAGTCCCCTGGATCTGTACAACTGCTTCTCACACAGTCAGACCCCGCAGCCAGCCCCAGCCCTACTCCACAGCCAGAGCCAGAAACAGTGCCCGGAGCCCCGCAACAGCCGACCCCTCTCTCTCCCAGGCCCACCGCACCGCACCCCCACCCTGGCTAACGGCTGTGCAAGGCCTGAAGATAACAGGGCCTTTTCAGAGGTGCCCGTAACCTAGGACTGTCATTCAATTCATGTTAAGACCCTCTGGTGAAAGCAGCTGCAGTCGGGGGCAGGGGTGATATGATTGGGGAACCCTGGAAGAAAAGTGGTTTTGGGGTGAACGGATTGCAAGGGACAGGACGGCGCGGGGTGGGGGGCACCTGGAGACCAGGGAGGAGCCTGGGGTCCCGCCCCAGGCAGAAGAGACACCCAGAAGCAAGGCTGGCGGCAAGGCCCGAATGGAGGAACTGAACGGCCTTGGCTTCAGGAACAGCGGCTCCTGGTGGTGAATGTGTGGAACCGCACCCTCTCATTGGTTCAACAAGCATTTATTGCGGTGGTTCTCAACCTTCCTAATGCCGCGACCCTTTAATACAGTTCCTCATGTTGTGGTGACCCCCAACCATAAAATTATTTTCGTTGCTACCTCATAACTGTAATTTTGCTACTGTTATGAATCGTAATGTAAATATCTGATATGCAAGATGTATTTTCATTGTTACAAATTGAACATAATTAAAGCATAGTGATTAATCACAAAAACAATATGTAATTATATATGTGTTTTCCGATGGTCTTAGGCGACCCCTGTGAAAGGGTCGTTCGACCCCCAAAGGGTCGCGACCCACAGGTTGAGAACCGCTGATTTATTGGAAGCGCACAGTGTTCCTTGTATTGGACACTCAGAGTGGGTCACTGTTAACACCTCCTTCCTATAAAATGATTTTCAGCAATAAAAAAAATAAAAATTAATGACTAAAAGAAATGCAGTGAGAATTTATTTCCTTTATGATATACTTCATCTAATAATGTGAATTATCCCATAACTAACAAGTGAATTTAATAAAACTGAAATATCTGCGAACAGAATTTGGGAAGCCACGAAATTGTACCATTGATGTGACTGTTTTCTTGATTTGCTCATTAGTTTAAAAACAATGTTTGCATTTTAATGGTGTTATTCAAATTCAGTAATATGGCTCATGTATGAACTGATATGCATTTTCCAACTAAAGCTATTCTATCTCACGGTTTGCAAGGCCTCACTGGTTTACATTTTAAACACAAAATCTCCAAGTGGTCACAGAGAATGACAAAAATGGGAGTAATTCGAGTTTGTGTCTTTACCTTTAGGGTCTCTGCACTCTCCTGGTCTGTTTTCACTCTAAATGCAGGGCTCGGAGACCCAGAAAATTCCACACCTTTACACACACTCTCCTGGTCTGTTTTCACTCTAAATGCAGGGCTCGGAGACCCAGAAAATTCCACACCTTTACACACACTCTCCAAACACACGCACAGCCGGGCCTCCGTGTGTCAGCTGGCGTCTAGCTGAGGGGCCTCTGAATTCACTTCCATGTGGACTACAAAGTTCACTAAATGTGCTCATATGAAGCTTAGGGATCAAGTATGAAAACCTCAACCGTAAATGGTGACATCACAGCAAGGTCTGAACCTGTTCATCCATTTCCTGGTCTCAGTCATGTACTCACGGGTCCCGAAGGCTCGGGGTCTGCTCTCAGGGTCACCCATGGGCCTCACGCTCCCTCTGCACAGCGGCCGGAGGGCCCAGCCCTCCCCATAACCGCACGAACAGCCACAGGCAGCCCGGCCTCCACTGGTGAGAGGAAACGCCGCCTTCCCAGAAGCCACGGAGCATTTCCTGGCCTTTCCTGGGCTCTGAGCGGGTCCTGTGCTGCCCTTGAGCCAATCACTCTGGAGGCGGAGCCAAGAGGACCAGGCATTGACTGGGGACTGGGACGGGCCCATCACAGCCGAGGGGAGGGGGGGGAGCTGGTTCGGGGAAGAAATGCAGGCACCTGGCTTCATTTCACCCCACCTGCTGGGTTCTGCGATCCAACATCCCAACTTTCCATGTGGGTAAACTGAGGCCACAAGAGCTTAGGGACAGGTCTTCTGAGCGGGACTGAGCTGGCACTTGGGGCACCCAGTGATGGAAACTCCAGCTATGACCGGCCCAGGAAGAAAGGCTGGACAGCGGAGCAGGATGCTGGGTGGTGGAATCACCTGAAGACACTTTAAAATGCACCGATGCCGGGGCGTGGGGGAGGGGGAGGGTCAGCAGCTGGTCAAGTCTCTCCAGGTGACGCCATCATGCAGTCACGGAGGTAGGGACGCTGAGGCCCCGCGTGCACACAGCCCCACACTTACCTGCCTTGGTTTCCCCAATAGCCCCCTCACTTGAATGAAGACTTCCCAGGGCACAGGAGTGGGAAAGCCAGTCTCACACAAGGAAAGTTGTTCTCAAGCACGCCCAAGCACCCCCTTTCCTGGTCTCACCCTCACCCAAGAAAGATGAGGAATATCAGACAAGAGAGAAGCTGATTTATTCCATGGTTAAGGTCTTGCCACCTGAAGACTCCCAGAGTCCTCCCCTTCAGGACAAGGAAGGAGGATCCTTGTTGTAAGCACCCCTCGGCTCAGGGCCCCCCAGTACATACCCACCCAGGGCCAGGCTACACAACCCCACCCCCATCTCAGGGCATCCCTCCTCCCCCAGCCAGAAAGGATGGGTGACCAGGCAGGACATGCCTAACCAGCGTGGGCCTCGGCCTCAGCTTCCCACTCACAGCCCAGCTGCGGGGAGGAACTGTCCTGGCCCGGCCACACGAATCCAGGGATGGGACTGAAGGCACAGAGGAAAAGGCTGGGCCTAGGCGCCCGCAGGCCCTGGGCAGGGGGTGCTCAGGCACTGGCAGCTTTGGCCCCCTTCTCACTCTCCGGGGGGCCCTCAGCCTTGCTCGCCAAGCTGTAGTAGTAGGTCCGCATGCGCTGCTCCACAGTCAGGAAGTCCGGACGGTCCTCCCACCTGTGGGGGTGGGGCAGACCCAGGCCACTGACCACCAGCCCGAACCCAAGTCCAGCTGGAGGTGGGCATTCAAGGGGCTCAGAAAATCCTGGGGCGTCGAGGTGGTACTGGGTAATAGAGGGGTCTTTAAGGTGTGAGACCAGGAATTTGGGGTTGCCTGATAGAAAGGCTGCAGACACACAGGATGTTGGGTGTTAACTAGTAAAGACTTATTAATTGAATCCACTGAGTGTTCGGCAGACAACTATTGACCGTAGGGAGCTGGGCTATCGAATGCTGGTGTACTGAGCATGTGACGTGCCCGGGGTCGGGGCATATGGGGCTAGGGTGGACTTATATGGGTGCAAGTATGCTGCCCATGACGGAACAGAAGGCTGGGGTACTGAGGGGGTTGGCTGGTGAGTGCTGGGCACCAATGGTGCTGTGTGGAGTGTCCAGGCTCTGTGTTGGGTGTTGGTGTCTCGGTGTTTCCTGTGGAGGTGGGTTAACCTGTTTGACCGGAAGGCTGACCATTTGCTATTTTTATCATAAAGAGGGGTGTCTGTTTATTGGATTGCCTGGGTGTCTGCGCATCAGTGTCACAGGTGTTGGCCAGTGGAGCAATGGATGCTGGGGGCGAGGAATGCACAGGTGCTGGAATGTACACGCGTTGCATGATCAGTGTAGGGTGACCACTTGTTTGGATCCGTGCTGCCTGTTGTCGGATGGGAAATTGGGATATTGACGGTATTCGGAGTTGGGTTGTTCAAGTGTTAGGCTTCGACCAGACAGAGCGAGGTGTGGAAATACTGTTTGCGTACTTCAGTGGTGACCTATCTGGCTGGTGGGGGCTGACAAGTTAGATGCTAGAACATGATCCCGTGCCTGAGAACTGGTACCACAGGGGGTAACAGAGGGGTGACTTGGAGCTCTGGGGGACCAGAGTGCTGAATGCTGGCTGGTGGAGCCTGGGGCTTAGGTGCTAGGGCCCTGGTGTCCACAGATGGGGGCAGTGTAGGGTGCTGGAGAGGTGAGCACAGAGGCGGAGCACCTGCGTGTTGGAAAGGCAGCGAGTCTCTGGGTGGATGACACCCCACAGTTTTGTTGGACCGAGTGACTGGGCCCCAGGACCTCTGCCCAGGCCCAGGGTCCGGTCAGCCCGCTCCTCCCGCCCGCACTCACTTGTAGATCCAGCAGTCGCTCATGAGCGCGTACATTTCAGCCGGACAGTCTGGCGGGCACTCCATCCGCTTGCCCTGCTCGATGAAGGCCATGACCTCGGGCCCCTTCATCTTCTGCTCAAGCAGAGCCAAGTGCACGCGTGAGTAACAGGGCCCCTCTGGCCTTCGACCCAGCCCTTCGCACCCGGCCCTCCTCC